CCTTCTATCAATTGAGAAAATTTCCTTGATTCCTGGCTTGTTAAATATTCTTCTCATGAAAAAATGTTGGGTCTTGCCAAATGCTTTTCCTATCCTACTTGAGAGGATGCTACGGATTTTACCTTTATTCTATGAACACAATATATTACATTGATTGATTTTCAGAGTTTTGCACCAACCCTGTTACAGAGATGAATTTTCCTTGGTATCTTTTGGTGTATCATTTTACTTGACTCAAAAACATTTTATAATATCATTTGTGACCCACTGATTGTTTAGAAGGTTACAGGCAAGCATGGTGGCACATGCTTGTAAGTAATCCCAGTACTATATAGTGGGGAAGGCAAGAGAACCACAAGTTTCAGCCTTTTGTGATATGTTAGCAACTTAGTGAGATACTACCTTAAAATAGAAAACCAAACATGGGGTGAGTATGCAGGACAGTTGTGAAGGTTCCAATTTCCACCCCCAGTTCCACCAAAAACAAGCAAAGGGTGTTGCTTAATTTCTGCATTTATGTTACTGATACCTACTTCCACTTTTTGTTATTATGACAAAAAATACATTTATATACTTGAAATAACTTTTAATTCATTGAATCTGGTTTTATGCTTTAGCTTAAGGTCAACCTGGAGAATGTGCCACGTGCATTTGAGAAAACACGTGTTCTGAGTTGTTTTTAATGCTGGTCAAATGTTCTTACTCTGTTTTGTCTTTTTTTTCCCTCCAATTTTAAAAAGGGTTTCCAAAGCCTTGAACTGTTATTGCTGAACTGTGTTTCTGCTTTCATTTCCATTAGTTTTTGTTTCATGATTTTGGTGCAGTTGTGAGGTACATGTAACATGTTCACAGTTGTTACAGTTTTCTGATGGTTGACACTTGTTTGTTCAAAAAGTTTTTATCTCTAGAAACTTTCTTAGTATTCATATATTTTGCCTGGTATTCATATATATTCACTCTTCCTTAGTGTTGTTTGGATGATACATTTTTCACCACCTTTTTTATTTTCAGTGTATACAAACCTTTCAAAGTGTATCTCTTGCAGTCTGCATAGTTGGATTTTTTTTTTTCTCATCATTTTGAGACCAGGTTTCACTATGCAATTCAGGCTGGCCTCAAACTCACAGTGGTCCTCCTGCCTCAGCTTCGTAAGTACTAAGATTACAGGTGTGTGCCATGAAACCCAACACCATTTTGTCCAGACTGACAATCTCTTTTGATAAGATTAATTCATATTCATTGTTGTACTGTTACAGATGGATTTACAGCTGCTACCTTAAGTTTTTTTTTTTTTTTCTGCCTTTTTGATCCTTGATTCCTTCTTTCTGCTTGTTTTGGATTAAACGAATTTTTCTAATATCACATTTAATTCCTTTAATATTTTTACTACATATTTATTTCCTTAGTGATTGCTCTAAGGTTCTACTTTTTACTTTAACATCAGACTTAACTTCACTCTAGTGAAATATGGGAATTTTACTTCTATACAGCTCTACTCCACTTTCCTCCACATCTGTGCTATGATTGATAAACATATTACACATGGATGTTACAAACCCAACAGATGTATTGGTGTAATACTTTTTATAATTATGTCTTTAAAGAAGCTGAGAGAATAGTGAAAAAGCAGCAAATATTCATGGTGTTTGCTTTATTAACCTCTTATTGGTAACTTTTTGTATATTTGTTGCAGTGGACGAGTTAGCATCTTGCATTTATTTTCTTACTCCAATGCAGCTTTGTTCCCACTCACCTTGACGGTGTAATTTTTAAACACTGTATTTTTACAGCTTCAAAATTACAAGCACATTGCTTTATACAGCTACTTTAGCTGTTGAGAAAAAAGCTGTACTTTTAAGAAAAAAAAAAAAACTTATACAACTACTTTACCAGTCTGGTTTTTTTGTTTTAATGTGGATCAAATTGCTCTTTTAGCTTGAGGAACTTGGTTGTTTTGTGGGGCTGAGAATTGTGCATGCTAGGTAAGTTCTCTGCCACTGAGGTTCCCACTTGCTAGAAATTCTCCTGAGGGTGTTCTGGTTGCAACAAATTCTCAGTTTTGCTTAGCTGGGAATGTCTTTATTTCACCTTCATTTTTAGAGTTTTTCTAGTGACAGTATTTGTGGTTGAAGTTCTTCTTTGAAGACTTTCAATGTATCACCCCACATCTCTCATTAACTGTACTGGGATCTGCTTATGAGTCTCTCTTTTTTCTTGGTGCTTTCAAAATTTTCTCTTCATCTTCAGCTTCACCGTTTTGTTATTTCTCTGTGTGGATCTCTGTTTACCTTACTTGGTATTCATTAAGCTCTTGGATATGTAAATTGTCTCCTTACATTTGGAAATTTTTCTGCAGGGGTTGGTTTGGTTTGTGTTTTCAAGGCAGGTCTCACTCTGCACACGAGGCTGGCCTTGATCACTCTGTGCATCTCAAGTACAGGCTCCAAATGCTGGTTTTACAGATGGTCACCACAGCTGGGAAGTCTGGGAAGTTTTTACCTATTACTTTTTCAAATTTTTATCTTTTTATTTTGATGCCTATATCACACATTAATTTGTTTTTGACATAGGATCTCACTATGCAGTTCAGACTGGCCTTGAACTTACTTTGTAGGCAAGCCTGGCTTTGGACTTGCAGAGATCTTCCTGCTTCAGTCTCTCAAGTGCTGGGGATAACAGGAGTGGGTCACCATGCCATGCACATACATATTAATTTTTCTTTTCCCTTTTTGGCGCTGGGAATCCAACTCAGGGTCTTGCATTTGCTAGACAGGCACTGTACTGCTAAGCCATGTTCTTTAATATTTTTAGTATATATTTATTTCCTTAGTAATTGCTTCAAGGTTATGATACATTCACATTTCTTACTTTAACTTCAGACTTCAGCCCTCATACTAACATTCTTAATGGTGCTCCACACTCCTCCGAGTTTCAATTTAGTTTTTATTTTATCTTACTTTCTCAACTCTTTGGAGGGCATACTCACAAAGGATTTGCCTTCCAATTCATTAATTTTCCAATTCAAATCTACTGTTGAGTACATCTGATTGTGTACTTTTCAACTCCAGAATTTATGTATTTTTTTTTTTTTTTGGTACCAAGAATCGAACTCAGGACTGCACAATCACCAGGAAGACGCTACACTGCCAAGCTATATTCCCGGCCCCATATTTGGTTCTTTAAAAAACCTAATTTCTATCTCTTTATTGACTTCTTTTATGTGGTAAGACTTCATTTCTTGGGGGCTGGGGATTTAGCTCAGCGGCATAAGCGCCTGCCTTGGAAGCAGGCAGTCGTGAGTTCGATCCCTGGTACCGATAAAAAGGAAAAAGACAAAAAAAGACCAAAAAAAAAAAAAAAAAAAAAGACTTCATTTCTTTTGACTTCTTTTCAAAACTTAAAGTGAACATCACATTATTTTAATTATTTTAAAACTTTTATTTCTGCAAAGCCATACACTATTTATTTTAAGCTACACAATTCAGTGGTTTTTGTCCATTCATGATGTTGTTCAGTATTTACGTTTCATGGTCATTTTGACTTGGGGAAGAATTGGAAGTGGCCTTGTGTTCGATTCAGGGACTAAGAACACACTAACATTTTTGAGCCTGCCTTTCTGCTAAATGGCACACAGCAGCATTCACCATGTTCTTGATCACACTTTCTAAAGACATGAAAAAAGATTTCCAAAACTGTTTCAGAAAGCGGAAAGAATGATGGACTAAAGGTGTGTGAGGGGAGGGGAGTATTTTTAGGGGAATTAATGGTAATGTATCTTTACGGTAATACATTTTTAACATTTAGACAGTCACTGTATTTCCTCCTTTGAACACACATGTCCTCGTTTTCTGAACAAATTTATAATACCTTTGAAGCAGCAGCAATTCTGAGAAGTAAGGTATTACTTAGTCCAAGACAAAGGCAAGCATACTTGCTCCTTGTTCTAAAACGGCATATTCCCCAAGCTCATTGCCCCTGCCCCTCTCCTGCCACGTGCCTCTGTGTGCAGGCATCTATCTGAGCCCTTTGCATCTCAGAAGCAAACAAGTAGTGTCCATCCTGCTTGCTGGGTGGAGAGCAGAGTAGTTTTCTGTTGTTAACCCCGCAATCTCTTATCTTCTGCCAGCCTCCCATGGAACAAAGCCATTCTCCAGCCTACTAGCACATAATGTAAAATCAAATCTCAGAGCTGATGGTTTGCTAACAAACACTGGAAACTGACAGAAACATGGCTTTATAGGAGAGAAGGGATAAGGATCTTCTGCTCTCCTGAGATCTGGTATCGGGTGCTCTTATTCAGGTGGTGAAGTGAAGGGGGAGGACAAAAAGGGCTTCCCATTGTTCTACATGTTAGTGAAACCGAGTGACTGATTATTAGCAAGCTACCTTACTAGTTTGGGTTGTTGCTAACTCTCCTCCACATAGGAGAAAAAGACAGTGACAATTAGGTAAGAAGCCATGGAACTCCAGTTTAAAGGTAATATGGTTGTTATTTTTGAGCCAATTGATCCTTAATGCTGAAATAAGCTGCATCAGCAATGATGACCTTGCTATTGATAGACCCAAAACATTAATTTTTCAGCTGACTGAACCAAACATGGGGAGTCCTTCAACACAAAAGTGAGTGCAAAAGCTTACTTAACAATGCAAAGCCAGCTGGTTGTCCACCTGGTTTTGCCAGTCTGCCATGACTAATGAAGACAAACAGGACTCAGGGTTTTAGGGATGGTGAAAATGACTGAAGACTGTGTGCTGAACGCAACGGTACTTCTACAGCTCAGAAGACAGCCTCTGGTGTGGGTGGGCTGGGGCAATGGGCCCACACACTTGGGGCAGGTGCCCAGCGAGGAAGCAGCACATACAATCAGGTAGCAACACTGGGGGAAAGAAGTTTTATCACCATCCTGTCTCACTGCCCCTGTGAGACAGCTGGTCCCACCGCATTACCCACACTTCCGGCTGGGAAGAACAAGCTCCTTTTCACCAATGCTGTGACTTACAACTATTTGTGCACGCATTAAGCTTCTTGGTTCCTGATCTCCCAGCAGAAAAATGATGGTGTCTCTTTAGAGGAAAGTTAGACAGAAGAATGTATACATATAAAGAATCTGCAAAAAAAAAAAAAAATGTATACACACTTCAGGAAAATAATATATTTTTTTTTCAACATATGGTGTTAACCTCATATGGTGGACCCTACAGGATGTGGCATATTATAGAAAACTGACAGCACTGCCAGCCCTTAAGAGACTGAAAATGCACATAAGCAATCTCAGTAACCAAGGTTACCCAAGCAGTAGATTGCTGCACTAATAAATGTCTGGAAGCCGATGGAAACCACTTTGACCACCTCTTACCATTATAGAGACCAAAGATAAACTGTATTAATCTCATGATGCCTCAATAAATTTAGTATTAGAATATTTACACAAGTTTTTCTTTTCCTGAAGTACATACACATTTTTTGGCAGACTCAATATATAAAGTATACAGTAAATATATACATGGTATATATAACATGTATATACACATATACAAGTAAAGAAATAGGAGGCAGAGCCATCCATGCAATATGATTTGCTCTAAATGTTACAGTTAAGAGACAATTTATTAGTATTTAACCAATCAGTTTTATGAGTTCATCTAAAAAAGAAATGATTTTTTGGAAAAATATTCTGTTAGTTCTAATGTGTTATATAAAATCTCACCCTTTTCTCTGCACTCTCTTCCATAAATTAAATGATGGCTTCATCTATCACCCAGAAAATATTTACTCTCAATCTTTGCCACTACTTTCGGTCTCTCAGATTAGAAACTATCACCTCTTCTTGATATTCCTGCTGATTTTCTGTCTTCCAGCGATACTTCCTCTTCCCCAACAGTCTGTCACTATTCTTCCAACCAACAAAGCTGAAGACTTGGGCAATATCTGATCAGTCTCTTTCCTTGATTCCGCTATTCAAACTTATTTCCAGATCAAAGTATCCCCTAAGGCACTGCTACACAGCGCAAAGATGTACACCAAGGGCTGCTTCCTCCATAGAGGAAGTCACACCAGCTCGACTAAGTAGCGAGCTTAGTGACTCTGCTGACTGACTGTAGCTCTATCTGTACTTTGTTATAAACTAAAAACTGCCTGCTGACCAACTGCCAGCCTCAGACTATGCCTGCCCCAAAGGGTTACAAACTATACTGCCAAGGGCAAATATGGACCCTCACTGGGAGACATATGTGCTAGTGTGACAATATAAGCCATGTGGTCACCTTTTCTGCTTCACTTCCAAGTTTTGGATAATTTTCTTTACCTGTATTGCCAAGGAAAAGAGGAAACTCTTTTCACTAATGACTATGGTTTAAAGTTCTGCCCATATGAACCTAAATACACATACTCTTTATAATTTTTTTGTAGTTCTAGTGATTGAGCCCATGGAGTGCTGAGCTATGTCCCCAAGCCTTTTTTTGGTGACAAGCTCTCAATAACCTGCCCAGGCTGGCTCAAACTAGCAGACCTCTTTCCTCAGCCTCCCAAGTGGCTGGACTCACAGGTGGGCATCCCCCATACCCTGCTTCTCTTTACTTTGATAATAAGGGCATACTGCACACTCCAAGGCACCCCTCCACTTCCATAGGTTCTGCTAACCCCGTTTCTTTCCAAGATTCTGCAACAGTATGTTAAGGATCTCTCTATTCCTCAACTTTTACCTAATTCAAACCTTTCTCTGCTCTTGCATAGTCACAATATCTTCAGCAACTTCCCATTACTACAGAATTACTTTTATTTTTTCTGGATGCAAGGTTCTACTCCTAACTACATGGCTTCATGTTTCACTATTTTTACTTCCAATGTGTCCTCTAGTCCAACTGGAATACCACTTTCTGTTGTTCTCATATCTTATTATTATACTTCTTCTTAGGTGCATTTCTTTGAATTTCTGATTGTTGAGCGCTACCAATCTTCAAATGGGATCCCTTCTACAGAGCCTTCTAGTCTTATATGTTCTTTGCAAAAGAAATTTCAAAAAATCTTGTTATCCCTCTTTTCTAGTGTTGTTCTACCATTGCTACAGTTATTTACATACATATCTCAGTCTCCTCATATTGTACCTCCATTATGTTAGCTACTTTGTACAACCTTCAGCACAGGGATCCTTTTCCACATATACACTCTTCAAAAATACACGCTGAACTGAACCTTGAGAAACTCTGAAAAATAAAAAACTCTGGATACTTGTAAACGAAAGAACTAATTCTGACCCCTGGAATTCAGAGAATCATTCCTATGGAACCCCTGAGGAGGCTGCAAGAAATATGAGGAATTTAGATATAGAATGAAATTGAGTCCTAGGAAAAAAGGCAATTATCCCTTTTATGCTGCTTTCCATGGCAAGCAGGAGACAAAATTAATTTCTAACATAAATGAACATTTAACTGTATGTTAACTATTATTCTATACATTGTATGTACTGGATTTTAACATTTATCTTTCATTTTTTGAGGCAGCGTTTTGAAATGTAATTCAGGCCGGGCTTGAACTCCCGTAGCTAACCTAGTTAGGCCCTCCAACTAGCCATTCTCATGTCTTTTTTTTTTTTTTTTTTTTTTTTGTCTTTTTCCTTTTTATCGGTACCGGGGATTGAACTCACGGTACCGGGGATTGAACTCACGGTACCGGGGATCAAACTCATGACTGCCTGCTTGAAGGCAGGCGCTTATGCCGCTGAGCTAAATCCCCAGCCCCCATTCTCATGTCTTAACCTCCCAAGTGTTGGGACTGCAGGCACGCGTAGTAGCTTTTAATCTCCAAAACAGTTCAACAGTATATGCTAAAATAATACTGCCCTCCATTGACAGATGAGAACAGAAAAACCCAAACAGGTCGTATCATTTGTTCATGACTGTACAACTAGTAAATGTTAGTTGTATGAACAGAATTTTGTCTCATTCGTGGCTTGCGCTCTTAATCATTACTCTACCCTGCCTTGAGTGGTATAAATCAAACTGGATAAGGTGTTAAATTTATACCCCAAACTACAGCCAATTCCTTCTCTCAGGGGTCCAAAGTCTGAATCTACAAATGCGAGAACCAACTGATGGCTCTTTTATGAAAAATGACTTGTAGATCGATAGCCAAAAACAAAGTATTTATCTAAAAAAGCCGACAAGTAGGTAACTTTAAAAGCCAGTACATAGACATATCGTAAATCATAAACCCATGCTAACATATAATGTCAAATCTGATTCTTTTTAGGTTTTCAATAGATTGAGACTGTTCTTGGCGTCAAGCTATCTAATTTTTTAAGACAGCAATATTAACGGTCCAAAGCTCTTGGAGGAAAGCAATTGCCATGGTAACCATAATTTCCAGCACAATTTTTTGGGGAAAATAACAACAGTGACAACTGGTGATGTTTATTGTTCGCAAGGCACCCGTCCAAGGCTCCCGAGTGTCTTGCACATCCCTCGCCACGCTGCTAGGAGACGGGCCTCGCTCAGCTTCCCGGACCCCGACCCAGGGCGAGGCTCCGCGCCAGGACACCCACAGGCCGACCGAGCTCCTCCTGGCCACTCCGCGGCTCGGATCGGCGGAGGGGGCGCCTGCGAACGGGGACGTCGTGGGGGCGCCGGGGCCAGGTCGCCCGGCACGACCGACTTCCGCGGGCCGACGACGCGCTGGGGACGCGGGACCCAGGTGGGGAGCGGGCAGGGGAGCGGGAGGGAGAGCAGCACGGGGCGCGGCGGACTCACAGATCCAGGAGCCGACTGACCCGCCGCGGGCTCGACATCGCGGCCGCCCTGGAAAGCCTCTTGCGCGGTCCTGGGGTGTACGGCACCACACCAGGGACCGTCCGTCAACTCTCGGCCGTGCGCAGCGCGTAGGTCTCGGTGACGTCACACGGATCCGGGTGAAGGGCGTGGCCAGGCTCGAGGCCAGAGGAAAACAGAGCACTGTCGGGGCGGAGTCACGGCAGGCTGCGCAGAAGAGGGTGGGTGTGGTAAAATGCAGAGACTCCCTAGGCAGAAAAGCTACGGGGGAAGTACGGGTCCCTCTTCCCCGCGCGCGACCCGCCCTGCGCCTGCGCGGCCTCTCCAGCGTTCAAGTGCGCGGCCCCCCCTACGCTGCCGCGCACGCGCACAGACCGCTCCGGGACCGTCGTGGCTGCCCCTGGCAGTTAGGAACGGCGAGCGGAGGTCCGCACTGAGCTGCAAGGCTCGTTAAGGTTTTAAATTTTTCTTCTCCCATCCGTGAGTATATTCGGTATAAACCGGTGAAGTCGAAGTTTTTCAGCCTTATTTTATACATGAGAACATTCCAGGAAGAATTTCAATAGCGGCTAGGAAGCAACCACCAATCAGGAGTGGAAGGAAGAGCATCTTCCCCAGAGGGTGTGTCGCTCTCGTTCGCTGTTCAACGCTTGCAGCTTTGTAAATGCTTTTTCATTCTCTCTTGCAAAATGATGTATTTTTATTACTTACTTCAGTGCTGGGGATGGAACTCAGGGCCTCGCACACGGGCCAGGCATTCTACTACTGAGCCATAAAATAAATAAATAAATAAGTAAATAAATATTTAAAAGTTCTAAGATAATGTTTCCCCAAATCGCCCAGTGTTCTTGTTATCCCGAAGAAAAATTAGGAAGGAGACATAGAAGTAAACACATAGGTTTATTTGCAAAAATCAAAGATTAGTACACTGGTGTGAAGAGCTCAAGCCCAGAGAAGTTAAGGGTCAGACTCTATAAGGGTGTTATTGTCACTGTTTTTTTTTTTTTTTTTTTCCTTTCAAATAATCAGCTTTATTCACTGGTCCCATTAAAGTTTTTTTGGAGTTTCTTTCTGTGTTCAGTTTTTATCTTTTATTACTACGTGTAGCAGAAAATGTCCTCTTACCCCTGCCACTGTACTTAAGTTGCCCAGGTGATAGTTCTTGTTGCAGTTCCCGTTGCCTCTGTCTTTTAAACAGCTGGTCACTGTGATGCATATTTTAAGAATCTAAACAAAGACAGCAAGTACTCTACCTGTGTACTTCCCCTCTGTAAACCCATATAAGCCTCCCTCTCTGAGCCATCAGGGCTGGACATTTTGAGGGACAGTTGATTCCATCTGATGTTAAATAAATTGTCCCTAAACATTGGGTGTCATTTTGGTGTTTCTGTTTGCCATAGCACGTTTGTACCAAATGAGCCCATTCCTTATGGAGAGTTGATGCATGTACATAGCATATTTCAATTCTTTTTCATTCCCGTCCTCCATTTCTTGGTTCCCTTCCTATTTGTGAAAGGTCTGTCTACCTCCTATTAATGGCTTTTATTTTGCTCTTTATTTATAATTCAGGTTTTTCATATGAGAGAAACCTTGTGATATTCAAGCTTGTGTGTCTCATTTAGTTCACTTAACATTATGGTCTCAAGGGGTTGTGTCTGGTGGGAAGGTTTGTGTGAGGGGGTTAGGGGTCCCCCAAATGACCCTTTGTCTCTCTTTGGGCCCTTGCCCTCACTCCAGTGAAGATTGAAGAAGTGGGACTCTTAGTCATGACTGATATGGTGTGAAGTGAAGGTTCATTTAAAGTGTAGTGAATACAGAGGAAGCAGAAGAGCTATCCTGGCAGCAGAGTGAGTTACAAGAGATACTCTGCTAGGGATGCCCAGTGAGTTTCAGGTGTGCTCCTACTTACAAGGATAAGCTGGTTTTTATAAATAACTTTCACTGATTGGTGTTATCTAGGTCAGTCAGAATCTTAGCTTTTGTTCTGGGAAGGGGACAAGGTCAGTTGGGGATTTCTTAAGCATGTGAGTAACACTTTCACAAGGAGTACATTCTTAAGTATATGGTAGGGTACATTTCTCAAGTACATGATACACCGATCAGCATATGATGATTTTACAATATCAGCCATCCGGATCTTGTCGTATTTTTTTCACATGCACGTCTAATCTGCCCTACAAAGGTGCATCCACTTTCTTACAATGTAGTCCAGGTGGGCTTCAAGCTTGAGGTGATCCTTCTACCTCACAGCTGTGATCCCTGAAGGCTCACCGGTGTGACAGAATTTCTTCTCTCTGCTTTGTCGGACTGATCTGGAACTTGAGCTTCCTACTTTGGCTTCCTGTGTAGCTGGGATGGTGTAGGCAAACCATGGAGATGGGTTTTTGATTGTACATCAAGCTCTGTTTTGTAAGATCCTTGACCTTCTTGTGCTGCTCATTTAATCAATATATACAGTTCTTTCTTTAAATTTTATTTTAAAGAGGATAAAATCAAAACAGTAAAGCTAATCAGAACAAAACAGTGAAAGTGATACAGAACTTTAAAACAGGATAATAGGAAGTCAACAATGGTTACCATAATGCCTCTTGTTATCTTCAAAATTGCTGCCCATTACTATTCATTTCAATAAAATGAAAACAGTACAAAATAAAACTAATCAAAACAGAACATTGAAGACAACAAAACAGTGAAAGCAATATTGGATTAAAAAACAAGGTGGAATTCTCCCATAGTTCCTATATTCATGCTGTTATCCTCTCAATATATGCTAGACTACTGACTTTAGTCTTGCAAAATCAAGCAAAACAAGAATTAAGTTGTCTTTGTGTATCAGTTGCTATCAACTCAGCTGATTTGCTTATAGGGTGAGGGGCAGCTCTCTCTTCTTGTCTCTAAGCCCACATGCTGACTGGCTTCTTATTTCTCTTCCTGGCCCTGCATGGCAACTTCTAGCTCATAGGATGGGTGAATTGGCTTCTTGCATCTCTTCCTGGCCTTGCATGGCTGCTGCTGGCTTACAAGAAGCATCAACATATACTTCTTAAGCACTGTATGAGAGCCAAAGATTGTGCTGGTTGGGTATCGAGAATTCAGGGGTACACACTTACACTAACCAAGTCAAAGGACAATTAAAATAGTTATGTAGGACCAACAGCAGTGTGGCGGGGCAAGTAAGGTGGGAAAGGAATTGGTGGTCCATTAGGGACTACACATAGTGGAAAGACTATGCTGGGCAGTGACAAGAGATGAATGAAAAGTTGCCACCCTTTTTCTATGATGGATCAAATAGAAAATATTTTAGGTTTATGGGTTCTATTGGTTTGGTAATAACTCTTCTGTTTATAGTGTTATCAGGTAGCTCCTTCTATAAACAGCTTATCAAATGTTACTGGTTTTGGGTTGCTTACCTTTCCATCTAGAGTTAGGTTCCAGGTTCTGCTTGTTTTGAATGAAGAATTGAGTGAAATGAGCAAAATTATTGTAATCTCTTTTCTAGTCCACCTTACAATCCAGAAAATTGTAATTGTAATCCCATAGAAACATTACTGGAATTCCAGTGAGTTAATTCCAATCTCCAGTTAATTCCAATTCCAGTGAGTTAATTGCCACCTCCAATGCAACTCAAGGTGAGAGGAAAGACAGTGAGACATATTGAAAGTTATGGGCAGCCAAGTGGTAGTAATTCTGATCCAAGTGTGGATATACAGACAAAGGCGTTGACCTAATGTCTTTTCCAGAACTTATTATCTCGTGAAGAAGAGAGTGGTTGAAGGAGACTGACAGTGAAGATGGTGGGAATTATGTGAGCAAGGTCAGCTGAGCTGGCTGGGTGGAGAGCAAGGAGGTTGTTGCTTCAGTTTCTGATATGTAAACTTTTGTACCTGGGAAATCATAGCTTATTTTGAGACTCAGACTCAGACCAGTTGACATTCCTGGAGTATCTGGCTCTGCCTTCCTACTGTGTTCCACCATTTTACAGAGAACATGATGTGAGGAAACAGGAAATTCTTGGCCGATCTTAAGGATTACATCTCAGTACCTCAGCTAGACTTATTTGCATTGCTTAGAGCCAACTGAAGATGGCATAGTCCACCCTGTACATATTAGTATGTGGAAATAAGACTCAATTTTAACTAACACCAAGTCAGTTGTTCTGTATTCAAGGAGAGGTGCCCAGATTGTCTTCTACAAAATGCAGAAAACAAAGTATTTGAAAAAATTAAAGAGAGGAGTGAGGGAGAAACTGGCTCTGCAGAGCAAGCTTAGGCCAAATAAATGGGGGAAAAGCGAGATAAAAGTACATCCTGGAGAAAGCAGGTGGAGTAGCATAGCACGAGGAAAGCTGTGATCAGGAGCTCTTCTCAGCATGTGCCCTTTTATGCCATCTGACTCTCAAGAAGTACATCTGGGTCCTGAGAGGTGGTGCTGGGATCCCACTTCTCAGGCTGACATCAGGCTTAAGCCAACCTATTGGAAACTTAATTTTCACAGCTACAAATTCAGATCAAGAGTCTTCGGCAGAAAGGCAGAAATAGAAGGTATAGAAATGGATGAGCTCATCTAATGGGGCTGTGTGTAAAGTGAGAAGAGCAGCTAGTTCTTGGAGAGATTCTTGGGGAGCCCTGACTGCCTGGAAATTGACACCGAGGAGCAGGAGTAGGAAAAGAGGTAAGGAAAAAACAAGTCCAGTGCTGCAAAAGGTAAGTGATCAGAACTGTCCTAGAAGGATCAGGGAGACACTACAGAAGTGGTTTAATAATAGGAAGGTTATTGAGGGTACCTGAGGTGCTAGTGAAGGATGAAAATGCATCTTACTGGCATGAATGAGATCTGAAGATGTCTGTAGTAGAGCGCTTGCTTTGCATGGGAGACACTGGGTTCAATCTCCAGCACAGGAAAGGAAAAAGGAAAAAAAAAAGTGCACACATGAGTAGCTGACCTCTCAAGAAATCCTTCCTGGGAAGAACTCCTATCAGGCTCATACTAGAAGAGAAATACTGCTCACCAGTATAGCTGTGCTTCTAAGAAAGCCAACGGGGCAGCTCTCAACTATTATTTATGGAGAATCTGAAGTGTTAGCATGGGAAATATTTACAGATGCTTATGTAATCATCAAGTAAGTCTTAGGTATCATGTTTGTTATAGTTAAAAGTGAAGCCTTTCCTATGTGAAAAGGCCTATCAGAGTCCCAAGACCAGCTCTGTTTGAGGGCCTAAGAGAGAGATATACAGTACATCCAGGGCCTGCAATACAACTTAGCCCCCCCCCTTTAAA